TGTTTCTTGGGCCATAACCTCGCCGCTCTGTAGCCTTGACCTGCCCTACAGAGGGCGATCGTTTCACCGGACAGTACCGTGCCATATGTCCGGGTTGTGAGCAGGACAGGCAGATTGGTCGACCGTCAGCTGTCCACTGGAGTGATGGACCAGCAGGTCGCGGCTGTCCAACCCGTCTATGTTTTGTCCCGTTTTTGCCCTGATTCTCTGCTGTTGACCTGCTTTCTAACCTCTCCAATCGTTGGTCAACCTTATCCAGGTGGGCCAACAGTTGAGCCATCATGGTTTCCATCGTGCCGGTCCCTGTGGGTGGGGATTGTTTCTGTTCCGGCACAGAGACTTTGTCTACCGAACAGTTCGATTGGTCCTCATCCTCGGACCTGCGGATCGCTGAGTTCCTGACCTGAAGGAAGGTCAACTGTGGGTCTTTGTAGACCTCTTCTCTTAAATCTCTCCTTAAGATAGGGGTTGCTAGCCCCTCGATGAAATGGTCCCTCAGCAGGCGCACATCAATGTCGGGTGTTTTACCCTTTACCGCATCAAAGGCCCTGTTCATTCGGTGTGAATATTCCATCACACTCTCCGCCTTTTTCTGCTTTAAGCCTACGAACCCCGATAGCAGCTGCGATCCCGACCGTCTCTCCCCAAAGGTCTCCATAATTAGATCTAGCACCTTATCTGGATCTGTTTGGATGGTTTTATCGTGGCATTTGACCTCTGCCCTAACCGTCTCTCCTATACTGCCCATCAACAATCTTAATCTTTCCTCTGGTGCCATGTATCTCGAGACCCAGGCAGCCATGACCTCTTCACTGAACCTGTTGGTTAAGGTTGGATCACCGTCCCCGTAAAATTTGTTGATGTGGGACTCTCTGGGCAGGACCACAACATGGGTCTGCTTCTTGTCCAGAGTAGACATTCTAATTTTAATTCTTTGAGTAAAAAAAAAAGACCTTTCCTACCGTGTATGTAAGAATACTTTTTCCTGTTCCTGAATGTCCGAATTCACACACACGAAACACAGTTATTAACTAGGTTGACAATGGGTGCCCTAGCGGCTGGTCTAGTTGAATTCTTCTGCTCGACAACGCCAAATGTTACCGAGTCTATTTGCTTGTAGTGCTAAATGTTACCGATTTCACTGCTGACAGAGCCAAGTGTTACCGAGTGTATTTACTCGTGCTACCTTTGACCAGCACACAACATCGACCACAATATAGATACTCGGAAATGCAGGTTTACATTGATCTCTATTACATGAATCAATAGAAATGCTCCACATAAAAATGCATCAATGTTCCATAAGAATACAATGAACCAACTGACCCCCACTGTCCTCACTAGTCCTCACATAACAGAATGCACGTGTCCATAATTCCTATCCTCACATAACACAATACGTCTACCCCGTTCAGTAACCAACTTGATACTCCCCCGAAACACGTCTCTACAGTTCGGCTTTCCCTTCTCAACTGTCGCCTTCCCATATATCCCTTGTATTCGTAATCGTATTCGTATTCGTAATCGTAATCGTATTCGTAATCTATTCTAATCGTTGCATCAGAATATTAATTGCGCAGCTCTGTCGTACAGTCCGATTATTAGACCACCTGCACTATTACGTCAGACTGTGACTGCGCAGCGGCTTTGTCGTATTGCTTCCCAAAATACGCCGTGGCTTATCAGTCCAACACCTGTTGCATCAGACTTTAATACGTTCTTACAATAGTATGGTAACTACCCTAGTTACACATATATATATATATATATATATATATATATATATATATATATATATATATATATATATATATATATATATATATATATATATATAATACACATATATAGAACGTGTTAAAAAATTCGGCGCCTTTTTTGCTCTTTTCGCTCCCCCTACAATGAAAACCTGGATACGCCTCTGCTATCACACAGAAACTATATGAAGACTCCACCAGTCAGGTAATACACAAGGGAAAACTAACAAAACCATTCACGGTGACGACGGGAGTAAGACAGTGATGTATGCTATCGCCAATGATATTCTTGATGGTAATCGACTGGATCATGCTGAATACCACAAAAAACGACACAGGAATCCAGTGGAGTTTCACCAAAAGGCTGGAGGATCTTGATTTTGCCGATGACATCTGTCTACTATCTCACAAGCATCAACATACGCAAGCCAAACTAAATTGGCTATCTGAAGAAGCCTCCAAAGTTGGACTAAAAATAAATAAAAATAAAACAGAGGTCATCAGAATCAATAACAGCTAGGACGTGCCCATACAGCTAAATGAAGAAGATTTGCGTGAAACAAACACATTCACATATCTGGGAAGCGTGATCAATAAGGACGGGGGAGCAGACGAGGACATAAAATGTATCAACAAGGCTAGATGTGCCTTCAACTCACTGCGCCCGATGTGGAGGTCCACGGCCCTGTCACTCCGGAGCAAAATTGGGATTTTCAACTCAAATGTTAAGGCAGTGCTGCTCTATGGCTCGGAGACTTGGAGGGTCACGAAGACAAATACTGATAATCTACAGGCATTCGTAAACAAATGCTTACGACATATACTTAAAATGGCCAGACAAAATATCAAACAAAGACCTGTGGCGAACTTTAAAGCAACAGCCAGTAGAGACAGATGTCAAGGCCCGAAAATGGGGATGGATCGGACACACATTAAGAAAGGAAAAAGAAAACATCGCAAGGCATGCTTTAGACTGGAATCCCCAGGGAAAAAGGAGGGTGGGCCGGCCAAGGAAGACATGGAGAAGAACGTTTGAAGAAGAGGCGAAAGCAGCTGGGCACACATGTGCACAGATAAAGGGGGCAGCCCAAAACCGAGTCTGATGGAGATGTGTGGTTACAGCCCTTTGCTCCCAAGGGGCCACAAAGGAATGATGATGATGATGACCGTATATAGAGAAAAATTGCACCCTCCCGGGGCGCCGCCCTTGCAAAATTATGTTGTTTTTTTTTACAGAAACCTCCCCTGGAGTGTTTTAATGCGCTTTCTTATTCTTAAGTATACTCATATAATGCACCAAAATGAATACATTTTAAAGGATGCAACTACAATTTAACACAAACAGTATGGGCGTTATTACACTACAAATGGCCATATATTTCACAAAAGATGCCCCAAAATAGTATAGCTTTTGAACGGGTAAAACTCTGTAAATATTGTTTTTTCAATTACCAGTAAAGAGGTGTGTGATCAATACAGTGATCTAACCCAGGGGTCGGCAACCTGCGGCTCTTTTGATATCAAGATGCGGCTCTCCAGCTCCTTGAACAAATACTAATAATCTTAATAAAAAAAAAAAAATACTTGAAATTTAAAAAAATGTTAGTGGCTCTTTAAAACCAGGGAAATTTTGAAAATTGTAACTTTTGGCTCTTCCGCTTCAAAAGGTTGTCGACCCCTGATCTAACCCATAGTAGTCGGAACTTCAAGTCAAATCATTTAGTTATATGTAAGCTATAATCTATCTATATATATATAATTCTCTTCTGGGAGACGTTAGAAAACAAGCTGCAAGCGCGCCTTGCAGTCCCCTCTCTTCCTCTCTATCGCTACCACCCCCCTCACATGATCAGGTGAGTTGTGGTTCACGCTAAATGTTTACAAGCTGGGTTTGGTGACGGCTATTAGGGGCAGATAATTTAGTTTGAAACTTAGAGGAGGTAACTAAGAGGAGGCTGCTTTCACGGGTGGGGGGGGGGGGGGGGAGAAGGGGGTGGGGTTAGTGTTTTAAAGCAAATATTTTCAGTGGCAGCATTGGTACTGTCGAATTCACATATTATGAATTACTGAAAAGTAGAAAAAACAACAACTAAATAGCGGCGTCGGCTCATTAAGTATAAGTTTCAACTAGTATATATATAATTCTCTTCTTGGAGACCCTAGAAAACAAGCTGTAAGCGCGTTCCCTACCGCCCCCACCCCTACATGGTCTGGTGAGCTGTGGTTCACGCTAAATGTTTAAAATCGTAGAGCCGGGTTTAGTGACGGCTATTAGGGGCAGATAATTTAGTTTCAAACTATTTTAAACTTAGGGGAGGTAACTAAGAGGATGCTGCTTTCACGGGGGGGGGGGGACGAAAAAAAAAGGGGGGGGGGTTATCGTCCTTAACGAGCTACTGACAGTGTTTTAAAGCAAATATATTCAGTGGCAGCATTGGTACTGTCGAATTCACAGATGATGAATTACTGAAAAGTAGAAATAAAACAACTATATAGCGGCGTATGATACTAAATTTTTACACTAAAACCGTCATATCTAGAGAATCGTTTATCCTATAAACATAAAATTGGTATCATTTGGAAGCATTTAATCCCCTTAATACAACCCTGTCGTTATTTTGTCAATTTAATTACTTGAAATTTTGTGCAAATAGCTACCTAAGAAAAATAACAAACGAATTCTTAGCGCTATAGGGCTGGTAAGTAGGTCACCAACCAGTTCTACGGCTCAATAAAACCTGCATGAGCCATAGAACTGGTTGGTGACCTACTTACCAGCCCTATAGCAGACTGAAAATTTAGCTTTATAATGCAGTAATAAAAAAATTTCAATAGGCAACACGGCCTAATTTACCATGGAAGCAATGTTCAATGTGATGATAAGTAAAGTATTTGTTTGGAGCTTTTATAATTAAAGTAAAGGTATGATCCTATTCATGGAAATATCAATTAACGTTTATAAATAAATGTATATAACATTTTTCTCTACATTAAAAAATATTTTACAGTTCTCAGATAGTGCAGATGCTCTGATCAAGCGAAACCGACAAACAAAAAAGTAAATATAAAAGCTCCTTACGTTTTAGTAGGAATAGGATATAGCTAACAACTGCAACCAAACAACTTCGTTATAAACAAGAAGTTTTTGTTAAATTTACTTTATCAAAATTGTGCAGATTAGGACAATTTTAAGTGATGAGGAGGTGTTTAATAACCAAAATAATGAGAAACAACAAAAATCTCTCAAAATTCATAGTTTTATTTAATCTTATAATAAAAAAATTGCATTTTTAAGGGTAAAAAAAAAGATCAAAATTTAACATTCAGTGAGGTAAGGAACCAATAATATATAAATAAAGGTATTAGCCAGCATGGCATATCTTCACAAACATTTTGCTAATTTTAGACTACAACAATAATAAAATAATAATTGTATTGTCAACTAACTTTTTAAAGTGAGACTTAAAATCTGTTTAAAAATAATGAGTAGATATATCCATTAATTTTGTAAAATAAAGTTTTAATAATGCAGAACTTATTGTAGTCTATCTTCATAAGCAATGTTTAGTAAACATCTGTGTACAATTTTAATGAAATACTTCAAGTAGTTTTTGAGATTTATGTTCCTAACCCATACTATTTTGAAAAAAAAGGGACATTTTGAGAAAAATGAGAAATAGTGAAAACTATAAAAACAAAATAATTTTTAAGTTCCAAGACAGTTGCACCTGGAACTTCTTACGTGGCAGTTAGATCATCTTTCTTTAACTCTTTCTTAATTTTAGATTGCTTAATTATGCAAAATACATAGGTGAATTAAGCCATTACTCTAATAAATTGAAAATTCCTTTGACTTAAAAAAAATACTAGCAACAATTAAGCAAAATAAGTATACAAAAATGCTCAGAATTGAATCTAGTTTAAAAAAAAAAATTAAATGTTGAAAAATTGACATTTCTGATTTAAATTATCACAGGTGCAGAAGGCAATACATTGATTCTTGTATTTTTACAGTCACTTTTCTCTGTTCATCTTATTGATACATTATCCCTAAAATATTCTTATCAAACTACCACACTTCCATGACATATTACCAGGCATCTAAAACACTCAGTAGTTGAACTGCTAGTGGGGGCTGAAAACTGCATAGTGTTATATTAATTTTTTTTTACATATCTTTAAGCCTCGATCTCAACAAGCATTACTAGTAGCAGAAGTATTCATCCTTATTCCACATTATAAATACCCTGCCATCTGTAAACTTCTTTGAATGAAACACCACTAGCCCAGTGGTCTCCAAACTTTTCAGACCGAGGGCTGCATTGACTATCAAATATCATTTTGGGGGCCAGAGTTTCTTCAAAGCATATCTTTGGTGTTATGGAGGGCTGGTAAGTAGGTTACCAACCAACTTGCGGGTTTTATTGAGCCGTAGAACTGGTTGGTGACCTACTTACCAGCCCTGTTATTAATCAGTTGAAAACTGATGAATTACTAGTAATAGTTTTATTAATTTTTTATTTTATTTCAATTCTTTAAAATTTTGAATCATTTCCTCCCTGTAAATATTTTATTGGACCACTAGATATCTGACTGTTATTTAATACAGATGCAATTTGAGACTGTGTTTTCTTAGCAGCTGTAAAACTGCCAGGCATATATGGGACGGGCATTACATCTGTTTGTGACAAAAAATGTATATCACTTTCAGAAGTTAGATCAGTTTTATTAACATATCTTGTATCCATTATTGACATTTTTGGAACAGACTTTTTAATTCCTACTTCAAGTGGTATTTTAGAAATGTCAACTGGATTATGTGTTTCCAACGCTGATGAACTGCAAGTTGATGGGGGAAAATACACTGGATTATTTTCAACAGCTTGCACATTGCAGAAACTAGGTCTGTTCCAGTCAACTAAATTTGAACCATACCAAAACTCAGAACCACTGTAACAAACTTCTTGTGGGTCTGACAGAAGTAAATTCTGTACCATTGTATTTTGATTAGAATTTGGATTCAGGGGAGTTGATGCTATTAATTCATGACATGCAGAGTTATTTAAGTAACTTGACATTTGTTCATTTTCTATTATATCTTGATTTTGTGCATTTTTTTCCAGTGTTTGCTTTGATTTTTTGTTAAAATGCTCTTCGCATTTTTTGTTGTAACTGTTAACATCTGTTGATTGATTCAATGATTGCTTGCCTTTATTTATTCTTTCTTCACTTACAATCTTGGTAGTTTTGGGGCATTTGATGTTATCAAAGTATAGCGAGGGTGGGGCAAAATCTGCCTCTCTTTCTTCTCTTCTAATATCTAAGTAAGTCTTGACAATATTTTGCTTTCTGGGGAAATCTGCTGATTAGATGAGAAATAACGTTAAGTAAGATTCATAAAATTGCAATTTCAACATTTTTATGCAAAAAGCATTAAATAAATTTACCTCTACTTCTAATGTAATGAGATTCAAATATAGTCTAATTTTTAAAAAATTACTTTTATCTTTGTCCCACTCTCTAACATAACTTTTTCTCTTTTCTTCTGATGCTTGGATTTCTCTTTCTTTTTGTATTTTTTTTTCTAATTCTTTCACATCTACTGTTTTTTCTGTATCTGCTTCTGTAGTCTGCAATTTAATATTTTCTGAAACATTTAAATTAAAAAAATTAAAAGAATACTATTTAAAAACAACACACTATAACTTTAATTATTAAAAATATTGCAGTTATTGTTAAAGAAAATAAAACGGGAATTAAATTCTCAAAACTTTCTCGTTTATTCTTATATAACAACAAGCTGCTTACCAGTACTTCACTAAGTTGTGACATTTAAGTGTTTCTTTTGGAGGATAAATTAACATGACACAAAACACGACACCATCTCTCTTTTTTTTTTAAATAATGTATAATATATTTCAGACACAATATATTTGAATTTTGCTTATCAAAGTGAGATAAGCCAAGCAAATAAAAAGCTAAATAAACCTCTACACAACCAACATGACACCACACTCTACACACCACACTAAGCCAAACTGAATACCACACCACCCACCCAACCCTAAACCACACCATATACCTCATCCCACAAACCGATCCACACTAAAACACATCCTACCCCATACCCTGCATCTTAAAACATAAACCCAATGACAGGCAACAGAGAAATCAAGTAAAAATTTGTAACAAGAAATGTTTTAATAACAAGGGGTCATCCATTTATGTCCACGTGGGGGGGGGGGGGGGGTCATGAAAAAAATTGACTTCTAAGGACGCGTTGGACTGGGGGAATGTTCAGGTTAATGTGGATGTCCACATGCAGAATAAAACTACAAAACACATTTGATAGTTTAAAAAATGCATATAAAATGTAGATTATACATTGAATTGGCAGTTCTCATGATAAACGTATCAGAAATGTAGCTGTATACCGCCCGCCTAAGAAAAAGCAATTTTTTTTTACAAGCGGGAGGGATGGGGCAGTGACCGCAAAAACAATTCATGGTATTTCAAGTCTATTTTTAACCATTTCAAACAATTGTAACTAAATCATATTAGGCCTACATAATTTTTTTATAGCAAAGCCTAAGATGATGTAGATCTAGTCACTAAATGGGTGGGTGGGGGCGGTGAGTCTAAAATTCAAAATTTTTGTGGACATCATAAATGGATGACCACCAAGCGTTTGTATACTTATGCAGTAAAAAGTAGAAACAAAATTTTTTTCTTTATGATACTGCGCTACTTTTTGAAAGAATATAAAGAAAAGCATGAGACTTTAAATAAATTTAAGTAAAGGTAATCAACACAACACATAGCAACCTAAGCTTTTAGTTATAGCTTTTTAAATACTGTTGCATTATTATACATTTTATTTCAATCAAAGCTGTTGGCTAATTTTTAAAAATTATTTATGCTTTATCCTTAAGCTTTTTAAAAGATTGTGAACAATGTTAATGTTACAGATGTTTTAAATGGAATAAAATTGTGTTAAATAGAGGCAAAAGAAAGAAAATCAGTGGGAAGGGATGTTTATTATTTAACTAAATTTAAGAGGATATGCTGAGCAGAAATATCACTAAAATTCTGATTTACATCTTAATGGGTTTCTTATACTATGTCCACGTGTATATTTAAAAATTAATAACTTTAATTAGAAATATTTTAAAAATGTTTTTTGAAATACAATGTTTACAACCTATTACTGGAAAACTAATCATATTTTCAAATCTTATACGTCCATGCTTTAAAGCAGGATTTTCTACGGTATTTTTCGCATACCAAGTACAGTGTAATTTTTCGACCATGTAGGATTCTCACCAGTAACTACGGTATTTTTCGCATACCAAGTACAGTGTAATTTTTCGACCATGTAGGATTCTCACCAGTAACTATCAAAAAGTTTTAGTGAGGAAAGTTTTAATTTATACTGAAAAATAAGCAGCGTAAGCAGACACCAAGGTGAATTCTAACTTACTTTTACAGAGGGTGATTATATAAACACTCGAGGCATTCATACAGCACTCCCTGGGGGGTCTGGGTGGTAGTGTGGAAAAACTCGTGCCCCAACAACTACAATCCAAGAAATATGGTGCCTGCTTTGTTTACATTGCAATAACTCAGTATTAGAAAACAAGGTAACGCATCTTGATAACACAATAATGAAATCCTCTAAAAATTTTGCGTCAGCCCGCAACAATGCATGGGACAGGTGCGCTTAAATAGATATATGTAGGGGCCTAATTTTCTTTGCCAACAAACAATTTTTTTTTAAAGATCCACCACCGGATTTTTTTAAGTATGAATTCTCTTTTAAAATCCCTTCTTTTTCTAGACTTTGTACAAACACTCAATGTTGCTAGTTCCCAACGTTTTTAGAGAAGCGACCCCGTTTTATAAATATATAAAGTGACCAGTGACTGCCAAACAATTTATAAAAAGCGGGAATAATCTCTCATCAAACTTTCTAGTTTATTTAATACTAGTGTACCTGTCCCCGAGCCTTGCCGCAGGAATAGAATTAAGTCTGGCGAAATATATAAGAAGGATTTCATCCATGCGTTACCAATCCTATATTCTTAGACGTGTTGCCTTGTTTTCTAAAACTGGGTTATTTAAATGTAAACAATGCCTGAGCTTGGATCATAAATATCAGGACCTGGGTTTACCTTCACTACCGCATGAAAACCTTGAGTGTACGTTAGTCATTCACCGAAATAATGAGGTAGAACACACTTCGGTGACCGCCCATGTGTCAGTGACGTAGAGAGGCGCTCTATGGAGCCCCCGATTACACTACTGCAGAGGTGCCGCGGATGGCCCCTGGCTCCTTAAAACTAACATAGGCGCCATAGTGCTCGCAGGATAACCCAGAGCGCCACATAGAATACTGAAATAATGATGCATATTTCATCATTCGCTAAAGTTACACTAATCAAAAGGATTTTTTCTTTAACACGTAGAAAATGCTAATTTTTCAATATATCGTATATCGCCCTTGGGAAATTAAAAATGATTTTTTACAGAAACCACATCTGCAGTGCTCTTATCAGCTCCAGAAAGTTTGATGGCAATCGGCTGAATGGTGTCAAACTGCTTTTACTTTTATATACCTTATATAGAGAAAAAACAAATTGCGCCCTGCTGGTGCGCCACCCCTGCGAATTTGAATTTTTTTTAATGCAGAAACCTCCTCAGGTGTAATCTCAAAAACTTCCAAAGTTTCATGGAGATAAAAAAAACAGTGTGAAACCGCAATCCATTTATATTTTTATATACCGTATATAGAGAAAAATTGCACCCTCCAGGGCAAAATTGCAAAATTAAAAAAGATTTTTCTTTTTAGAAATCTCGCCTGGAGTGTTCTAATCAACTCCCCAAAGTTTCACGGCAATCGGATGAAAGATGTATTAATGCATAAAAGACAGACAGACACACACATACTTTGCTTTATATATATATAGATTGATGGGTTGAGAATGCATTTTCAGTTGAATCAGAAATATGAAGTTTTTGGGGGAAAAAAACACTTATTTGAGAAAACTGGAGAAAAGAGGCAAAAAGTTCTTAGAATATACTGTTTTAAAAAGTATTATATGAAATTATCAATCATTAAAGCTTTTTGAGAAATTAGAAATATAAAAAAGTATTTTATAAAATTACCTATTACTAATGCTTTTTTGAGAAATAAATACAAAGCAAAACTTCCGGTCATCATAAATCACTCAAAATTTGAAAGAATCCAGTGCATAAGATCTTATAATATAATATTGTCAACCTATCTAAAATGGTACTCAAGTTACCTGCATTTTAGAAGTACCACTTTTATATCAGGGGTCACACAAGCATTTAAATGATTTTACACTTACATATGAAATTCTGTTATTAGTTATCGTGTTCACATGAAAAAGAGTACCAATCTGTTTAACAAAAATTGTTCAATAATATCTAACGACAAATTAAATAACCCCCATTCACCATCATCACACATACCTCAACCTAAGAGTGCTAATATGATGGGGGCTTTTTTTATATGTTTAACTAAATATCATGAATGACCTATTTAATATTTGCCCTAGTGACTGTCTGGACACATCAGTGTTCTCAAGGTCAAGCGCTAAGCACATAGGTTTCACTGTCAGCCCTACCTTGAGAAGTGGGTGAGGATTGGTTTGTGTTATTGAGAAACTTGTAAAGCAAGCAACCGCAAATTTCAATAAAATATGAGTCCTGCATGTCTCTGCACATTGGTTTCATACATAAAATGATAGCTAAGATTAGTTTTTTCTGTTTAATATTTGGCAAAATAAATTAGACTGGATCAGCAGAAATAATATGATAATTTTCCTTAACAGAAAAAACAGACTTCCATTAAGACAAAAAGTTTCATCTCTGATATAAACCCAACCCACCACACCAGTCCACAAAAATGACCTCTAAAGACCAAATAATTTTCCTTTAATGAGGATATCACAAATGTATGATCCTTTAGACTGCATTTCACAGATAATAAAAATAAAATATACTTAAACATCATACTTTGTTCCAATGTCCTCCCTTTCAGATTCCTTCTTTGCCTGACCTTTGCTAATCTTTCTTCCATCATATTTTTTCTTTTATCCTTAATTTTCTCTTTTCTGGACTGTTCATCTACTGTCTGCAGAAAATGTTACATAATTTTTCCATTATGTATGTAAAACCTGATGACTATTTGACATTAGGATAATTTAAGTAGTCATGATCAAATAAATCTGTCAAAATTATTTACTAAAAAACATTAAATAAGCATAAAGACTAAATAAGATGAAGCTTGATTAGCTGGGGACAACAATCTACAAAAGAAAAACTTCAAAATTGAACTGCTATCTTGCAGTTTGTTCTTGGATGGACCAAAAGACTATGGAAACAAATCCAAAAAGGAAAGCAGGATGAAATCAGAGTCAACTGCCTAAGTAGGGCACAACATAATACTTAATATACTTGAAAAGCTAGTTTCCAAATTTTTGTTGCCAGAAAGTTGAGAGAGAATATTTTTCAATCAAATTTGAATATTTTAAAACGTGTGTAATAAGTACAAAATTACTTCCGGTTTCAATAAGGCTAGAAATTGTCAAAGAAATAATTACTAGTAATATAATCGTAATTTAGCAAAACTTTTATTTTTAATTTGGATTAGTAGAGTATAGTGTTGTGGTGATTGGGGAAGTTATATTATTTAACATAAATACAAAACTACGCTATACAGGATAGATCACTATTGTTTTTTTTTATCATGGAAAACAACTGTTCTGACTTTTATTGTTTTACTCTCCCTGGCTATTCCTGTTGACTTTAAGGAGAGGTTGAGGGCAATTTTTGAAAATATTTGAATTGATAAAATAATTCTAAACGGCTTTTCAACAGCTTATATTTGATACAAAAATATAAAAATAAGTGTAATCGATGGTTCCCAAATGGCTTTAACTTTTACAAATGTAACTATAATTTTATTGCTTGCAATATTTTTAAAAAGATTTTTTCTAAAATTTTGTATGATTACATAGACTTTTCATGCCTATTGTGTTGAAGAAAATCAAGTCCAACATGACAATTAAGAACAAAGAAGAAGAACAGGGCTTAAAATTTACTTTTTGATGATGATACTTAGCACTAATTATTATAGAAAACATGTAAACTAGATTCATGCCTTAACATCACCTGTTTATGAAATTTCTTTAACCTATCTAATTCTATGTTTCTCTCAACATGGTCTTTTGAAAACTGAAAAAAACCAACACCATGTTGTCTAATTTCTGCAATAGAAAAAGAAGTAATTAATAACTGGTAAATATCATACTGCTTTTAAAATTCAAAAAATACATATGAATAATGAAATTATGGTATAAAATAAGACACAAATATTTTTGGAGTTCTATGAAGGGATGATGTGGTCAGCAAAACCCGCAACTGCCTTTAAGGCACCCATTAGAGCTGAGTGGACCCAGGGATGTCCTATGGACTTGAGACAGAGATCCAAACTCAAGGCTTTCAGTTGGCAGTCACAACATTACTGTATGACCATGATGGCAATTAAAAGTTTTTTTTTTTTAAATTAACTTTTAAAAGTAATTTTTTAAATAATTTTAATTTTTAAAAATTCAAACAAAGTAACTTAATACAAAATTTAAATAATACATTCCTTTAACGAGAATTCTCATTCACTTCTAATAGATTTTTAAAAAAATTTTCCCACCATCAAACTGAATGTTAGAATAGTGAATGTCTTCTTGAGCTTTCTCTAGTAAGTCATTGGCTTCATTTTCCCATTTTTGTCTCATTAGATTTCTGTGCATGTCTGATATATCCAAGTCAGAAATGAATGGTCCACTTTCTTTTTTTGGAGTAGCTGAATTTGTTTTTTGTTGTTCTCTGTAAAGAAATTTAAATCATACTAATATTTAAAACTTTTTATAAATACATAATGCAGAAAAATACAGCTATTTTTGTAACAATGTTTACACTTACAAAATGTATACTATATGTCTAGAACACAAGTCCCGCCACAAGTTAATTTATCTTGAAACATTGTGTCCATAGAACATGTATACTTGAGCATTCACACTTACAGAACATGTTATAGAACATTTTAGAAAACAAACTCGACTTTTGACCTGGAGAGTCTACAGCAGGGGTTCCCAAACTTTTTTTACTCTAGAGCACATTCTAAAATATCGGTAGGGTGGCAGGCACCACCTATTTTAAATCGACAAACTCCTTCCATAACTTGTCATTTTCCCATAATTTATTTTCTTATAGGCCCTAGTCATAATGTATTAATAAATAATAAACAAAAAAAATCATCGCTTATGAATACAATAAATTACGCACCTCGCTTTTAGCCTGTAATTTTTTTTATAGAAAATTCCTCATTCGTGTTTCGTCTGACGAATATGTCTCTTATCTAACTGTCGCGACCCGAACAGGGCAGCAATCACAATGACAACAACGCGTTTCCAGGTGGGGAATGCTTTTTGCACATCACTCCATGTACACGCGGAAAACCCAAAGTGAGCCGATGATCGCCGAAGCAATCAGAGTTATGTGCCTTGTGATTTGGCGCCTTCAGCGTTTATCGGATCAGTTCGTGGCGTTCGTTCCATTAGTTCACTTTGGGTTTACTGTGTTTACAAGGCGTGATGTGCAAATGGCACTAGCCGTTCCAGGCTAGCGTCAATAGTGCAGTCTGGCTAGACAAGTTGGGACAAGTATCGAACATATTTAATAAACCTAGGCAGTCAAAAAAAATTAAAACTAACAAATGAATAAAAATAAATAATTTAAATAATTAATATTTTAAAATAATGTTTATGAAAAAAATTCTGTCTCTGTCGAATAGTGAGAGGCGGGCACATACGAATCGTTCAGCTGCGGGCGCCATGGCGCCCGCGGGCACAGGGTTGGGAACCCCTGGTCTACAGTTTAGTCCTAGATAATTAATAGAAAGAGTGATCAAAGTAAAATAAAACAGCAAATAGTGGACACACTAAAATGGTGTAGCCATGTGTGCCTACAACTTAACAACAAATTATCTAAAAATTAGAGGACATTCAAGATATAAGAAATTTTATTGGAGCGTTGGCAACTGATCTTGAAATAATGTTTTGAGTGCGGGATTATGATTCTAAAAATCGATTTTGGGGGAAAGTTGAAAGTGAAAGTGTTTGCATTTTGTAAAATACATTGTCAACAAAAAAAATGGGTTATTTTATATTATTATTCTGTTATAATTATTATTATGTTAATAATAAATAGGTTAGTTACTCTAGTTTTGTCATTATATTTAGTTAGTATATAAAATAGTTATCAGTATATTAATATTTTAATAGTGCAAACTTTTGTTGTACAAATAAATTTTTTTTTTTAAGCAATGCCGCCGAAACAAAAAACTGAGCCACAGCCATCGACTGCATTCGTTTTATATACATTGTTATATTCAAGCATTGTAAAAAAAAAAGAATCTTGCTGAATTGTTGTTTGATCATGAGCCTTGATACCAAATTTGGCTTGATTATCTCAAACGGTTCAAATGTTGTAGGCTTTTGAAGAAATCCAAGATGGTGGCTATCTGCCCTCTTGGATTTGTAAACAAAAGAATTTCTGAATCTTGCTGAATTGTTGTTTGATACTGAGCCTTGATATCAAATGTGATATCAAATTTGATATTCAAAAGTTATAGGCAAAGTTGCTTTGGGCCTGGGAGCTCAGGAAATGGGAGAAATTAGGCCAGGGAGGCCCAAGCGCAAAGGGTTAAAACACCATCAGTAGCTCGCGATATCAAAAGATAATTATCACCCCCATGAAAAGCAGCCGTTATGAGCACAATTTACAGACAACAGCAAGCTGATCAACAATTGTAAACATTTGGCATGAACACAGCTCTCCAGACTGGTCGGGTGATAAGAGTCTAGCTAGCTATCTCCCCTTCACTTATTGAATTTAGTAATCTATCAACTGATCTCTAGCATTTAATCTTGTTATGTCCTCATAATTTCAAACTCTTTTAATTAATTTTTAATGACTAATTAATATCTAATTAAATTAAAAAATAGATATTCATGTATTATCATCAAAGACGAAGGTATCTGGAAAATTTAAACAAAATCGCAGCATTAAAAGTTTGTCAAAATTAAGCTACAAGATTTGCCACAAACCAACAGACAGACGTTGCGAAATAAATAAAAGCTTGTAAAAATTAAACACCTTTCACTACTTGAGTGTTATTAAGTATTTCTTTAATTAAAGTCTAAACTAGTTTTAATGCACAATGGTAATGCCTAAGGCATCAATTTTAATAAGACCAAGAATAAATTCAACTTACAAAGCTGTCTTTTCACCTTGCTTTAAGAGATGGGTTAAGTCTTTCTTCATGCAACATCTTTCTCTTCCAAGAGCATCAGTAAAATCAACCCTGAAAGTGAAAAAGCATGTAATGTTGTAATACAAAATTGGATTTTCATTCAGCTACCAATAAAGTAATTCCTAATGGGTTCTGCTCATTTGTTTTAACTTTCATCTGAATGTTATAAGATTTTCCTTGCTGTGTTTTTTTAAATAAATGTGAGATTTTAAGAAAATTTATTTAAATAGCCATTAAATATTTAAAAAATTGAATGTGATGTTATCTATATATATAAAGCAAAGTGGTCAAGTGCCCGATAGGGCACTTCCCGGCGCCGCAGGCGCGTCAAATTTGGCACGATGGTGCCTTCGGGCAATAGAACACGAAGGCCGGTGACGGTTGGCCGAAAAGTCTACGGAGAAGGGGTCAAAACTGACCTCGACTGACCGGCGCCTTATATGGACTATATTACGAAAAAAAATTTCCTCCGACGACCCCCCTTGAAATTTTGTGAGGTGGTAGGAGAACGCCTTGGGGTGTCACAAAAAACTCGCCATGTCCGTGGAAAAATCGGGAAATGGGTCAAAACTGACCAGTCGTATTTCCCTATATAATCTTTGTATTTTATGGGAAAAACAGAGGGTCATTTCAAAACGGATTTTAGGGCACTTACCCTGTTTACATCTGGCTAATTTTTGACATGTTTATAGGTAAATGGCTTGACCGTAGGGCTGACCTGTCGGTCTTACTCAAAGCCCTCGGCGAGGGCTAAAAAGTGACCGCGAGTGAAATTCTCTTTACATGAGCTCTATTACGAAAAAAAATTTCCTCCGACGACCCCCCTTGATATTTTGTGAGGTGGTAGGAGAACGCCTTGGGGTGTCACAAAAAACTCGCCATGTCCGGGAACAATCGGGAAATGGGTCAAAACTGACCAGTCGTATTTCCCTATATAATCTTTGTATTTTATGGGAAAAACGGAGGGTCATTTCAAAACGGATTTTAGGGCACTTACCCTGTTTACATCTGGCTAATTTTTGGCATGTTTATAGGAAAATGGCTTGACCGTAGGGCAGACCTGTCGGTCTCACTCAAAGCCCTCGACGAGGGCTAAAAAGTGACCGCGAGTGAAATTCTCTTTATATGAGCTCTATTACGAAAAAAAATTTCCTCCGACGACCCCCCTTGATATTTTGTGAGGTGGTAGGAGAACGCCTTAGGGTGTCACAAAAAACTCGGCATATCTGGGAAAACTTCGTAAAGGGGTCAAAACTGACCAGTTGTATTTCCCTATATAATCTTTGTATTTTATGGGAAAAACAGAGGGTCATTTCAACGCAGACTTTAGGGTACTTAAGCTCAGTATATCTGGCTAATTTTTTGCATGCTCCTAGGTCAATGGCTTGACCTTTAGGGAAAACTGTCGGTTACACTCAAAGCCCTCGAAGAGGGCTAAAAAGTGACCGCGAGTGAAATTCTCTTTATATGAGCTCTATTACGAAAAAAATTTTCCTCCGACGACCCCCCTTGATATTTTGTGAGGTGGTAGAAGAACACCTAGGAGTGTCACAAAAAACTCGGCATATCTGGGAAAACTTCGGAAAGCGGTCAAAACTGACCAGTTGTATTTCCCTATATAATCTTTGTATTTTATGGGAAAAACAGAGGGTCATTTCAACGCAGACTTTAGGGTACTTAAGCTCAGTTTATCTGGCTAATTTTTTGCATGCTCCTAGGTCAATGGCTTGACCTTTAGGGAAAACTGTCGGTTACACTCAAAGCCCTCGACGAGGGCTAAAAAGTGACCGCGAGTGAAATTCTCTTTATATGAGCTCTATTACGAAAAAAAATTTCCTCCGACGACCCCCCTTGATATTTTGTGAGGTGGTAGAAGAACACCTAGGGGTTTCATAAAAAACTCGGCAATTCTGGGAAAACTTCGTAAAGCGGTCAAAACTGACCAGTTGTATTTCCCTATATAATCTTTGTATTTTATGGGAAAAACAGGGAAATTTTAACACAATTTTTAGGTTACTTAATGTCTGTACATCATGCTAAGTTTTTGCATACACTACTATAGATGACTAGGCCGTATGGAAAAACTGTTGGTCAGACTCAAAGCCCTCGACGAGGGCTAAAAGATGATCTTGAGTGAAATTCTCCTTATATGAGATATATATATATATATATAAATAAATTGACGAACGATCCCCTTAATATTATGTGACGTCGTAGACCGACCATGGAGGGTAACAAAAAAACTTTATTCCCATCGGAAACAGCCATTATAGTCGTTAAATAAGTTCATATAACGTAATTTCTTATATAAGCAAACAATATAAGTAAACAATGACATACGTCATACGTTCAGTTTTCAAGGGAGGTAACGTTTTTAAAATTATTATTTTTCAAATAATTGTATACTATTTTAAACAGAAACAGAAAATGACGAAGTATAGCATTTGTTTTAGTACAAAATTAAGTTGTTAATTTAGTTAAGTATGTTAATTAAATTAATTAATTAATTTCAAAAGGCAATGTAATATAAACTATGAGATATACTGTTCATGAAACCTGTGTAGTTCTAATTCCATTTTAGTTATACATTGCGTACTTTCCAAAAATTCGCTACGAATCTGCATGTAAATGACTAACAAAAACATTTTTTCTAAAGTTAGCATTACTGTTTAAATTAAACTTATTAAACTTATTAAAGCACTCCACACCCAATCCATCGCTAAATAATTAAGTATTCAAATTCTCAAATGCCTTTTAAAAACCTAAGCGAAGCTAGGCAGTATGCCTAGTTAAAAATAAAATAAAAACAGTTATAAAAACTATTTGGTTTGTGTAAGGCTTAACTAAAAATTTGATTCATAGTATTTCCTGTAGCTAAACAAAATTTTAAAATTTTGTCACTGAAAATGTGCATAAACATTGCTTAACTAGGCCAATTGGTTAAAAAAGTATTATTTTATTTTAAAATTGTATAAGCAAAGTTTGAGTATAAGTTACTAGAAAGTGAGGTTTTCAGAAGACCAATCACTGAGTTTCTTCACAGCCTATCAATGCTTGTCTCAACTTGATGAAAATAAACAGAAATATACCCTTAAACATTGTTTTTTAAGTTCTCCAAATTTGCAATATTGATTCTTAAAAATCAAGTTTTTAAAAATTTATTTTTTATTGATGGTCATTACAAAGGCAAAAATCGCCATAAACATTATCTTTAACCATGTCAACAATACTGATGGAAGGATTTTCATCAACTTGGACAAATTTTACCTTTTCTGGTGATACATGAATAGCTCCTTAATCTCAAAGGGCGATCAGATAAACAGTTCTCTTGTTGCATTTTTAAGAATTTTTAAATGGTGCCTCAAGTGTTGGGATGTTTTAGACTTCTAGTTTGCACTGTGAATGGTTTGTGTGAGTGTGATGTTTTTTCTATTAGTTATTAGATCAAGCCAATGCCAGTGCTGGGGGTGTCAGGCTTAATCGGTTGTGGTATGCACACAATCAATAGTCTTTGATCATTCTCATTCATTTTGAAAAATCCTAACTCATTCATTTTGAAAAATCCAAACTGTTCTAAGCAAAAAGGGTTCAAAGAAAGCAGCAACTGTAGTGTTTAGGTAGCACATTAAAAATAAGTCTTAAGGAAATTTGCTCATGACAGTCCAGTAGACAACATCCTTCATCACCTGTCAGTATATATACTTTCATGGTGGCAGGTCCTGTGCTTGTATTTGGGTGAAGCAACAGTATTCTTTAATTTTTATGTAAACAGTTTATCAATTTTTTAAAGCCCACACCATGCTCCTTGACTTCCTAAGTTTCCTTTCCTTGCCAAAAGAATGTAAAGTGGTAACTGGATATACAAGTGTCCAGACAGATATTATATCGAATTTCCAGTAACTGGAAATGGTAATTTATTTCCATGGAAACATGATAACTTGAGAACTGTTTCAGTTACGTAGATGAAATTTCATATGGAAGTTAAAGATCTTATACTAATATACTTGGTACCATACTCTATTTCTGGTTTCTAAAAATATTAACATACCAAATAACTTGAGTACTATTTCAGTTAACTAAACACAACAAAGGTATATGATTGTATTCACTGTTTTCTGTCAAATTATGAGTAATTTCTAGTAACTGGAAGTAATTTACACTATATTTGATTCCTCAAATGAAGGTAATCAACGTTTCCCTTAGAAAAGACAAATTTCCTGCTCAATTATACTCACACTGCATTCATTTGGTGAGCCATTGTTTTTTCTGCATCTTTCTATTCTTTGTAAAATATACATGTGCTTAAAAAAATGTATTTAAAGTGCCATCCCCTTACTAGAATGTTTAGGGGAGATCACCCCCACTTTATTTTAAGATAGATTCTAAATCGGGTGAAGTCAAAGCAAATATTGGAATAAGTACAAAGTTAAAGAACAACAAACCATTCTTCCCCAAAACCATCAGGTTCACATTTCTCCATATCATTCTTTTTTTGAGAAACTTCGCTTGGATCAGTAGGATCCCTTGTTTCAACAATTTTATCAATAGCCTTTTTTTGAAAATCTACCAAATAATAATCTGAACCATCATCTTCTGTAAAAAAAAAAAAAAGTTTCCAGTTTATTTATTTGTGGAAAAAAGCAGTTAAATTTTAGTCATATAGCCCACTCAGCATCAATATATAAAAAATTTAACTTACTAGATAAAAATTTTTTAAAATGTATTTAAAAAAAACAGAGAATAGCAGCTTGCTACATTAAATAATATCTAAAAACTATCTGTTTAAAATAAGTTAATAATTTAAATATATTTGTCTATCTTATACATTATTCTCCTATAAATAAAAATATATTAGCAATTCTGTTTGATTACCTGGTATGTTCAAACTGCTGGTTATTTTATCATAAATTTCTGCTTTCTCTTCAAGTATTTTCCTAAAATAAAAGTAAGTGACTGTTATACATTAGAATGTTAAAAATTAGGAAATCATGAACAAAATTGGAGGTGGAGGTTGAATGATTTCACATGATTTATGTCATCACAATCTGCTTAGCCAGGATGATAGGGATACAAAACAACAACACATTAAACAATGACATCACAAGCTAACACACACCACTAATGGCGTCATCTTCCAGTTTTAGAATATGAAGAAATGAACTGTGTCATTAAAATTTGATATAGATGTATAGATCTACTTATGAAATGTATACAATTTTCTCGGCCAAAAGTAATACAAATTCCTTTTAAAAAACAACATAAATACATTTGAACAGCCGGTTTTTAACGGAATAATTAAAGTCTCTTAATCAGTGTGTATTATTATATTTTATGGTATTGTGTTGACTAATAATGTATATAACTTGGTTTTTCTAATAGGAATTGGTAGTCTGTGTTATTTTAAATGTGTCGGATTTTTAGTTATGTAAGTAATTGCTTTGCTATGTCATTAATATCGTTCAATGTGTAGTTAAGCACATTGCATTTTAACCAATAACTATTTTATAAAATATCTCTCTAAAAACAAGTATAATATTAAAATATATAGGCCTATATTTCACGTATAACGGGTACTGACAGCTAGTTTTTGAGAGTGTATGACGAAAGCTACAGGGATGTGACCAGACCATGAAAAAAATTTAGGAAATTTTCTTCGGACAAGAACTCAATATGTTTTATCTATTTTATTGCAGTTAAAGTAATTTCATAAGGTTACTGTACTAATTAATTGTTTAATATAGCTAATATTTTAAATAAAAGAAGATTATGTTACTCTAAAATAACATTTTAAGTATTGTCTAATTGCAATTTAATGTTTACCGTATAAACAACTTTTAAAAAAAAATTACAATGTTACAAGAGTGGCAATTAAGTTTTATTTTAATATTAGTTAATTTTAACTGTACAAATCTAGTCTAGTTGTACTCTTGTTTTTAATCATAAATTATACCTTACATTCTTTTAAAGATTGGCATGGTAAAAATATTAGTCTTCAACTGTAAAGAGCCTAGATTTAGATTAATTGTTATTTGAAAGTTTTGGTTCATGTGAAGGAAAATGGAGTTGACTAGATTACCTGAAATTAGAAAGGGTCTGATATTTGAACCAAAGTTAGCAATTTCAATAGCCAAGCCATATCGTTACTTATGTTTTCAGAATAACTGTAAATTGTTAGTCATCCAGATATGACGTCAGTTTTTTTTGACGATTTTAACTCCCCTCTCCCCTCCGTCACAAAAGCTGGACTCCCCCCTAAAATGATGTCACACCTCAGCCAACAACCGCTCTTCCCTCCTCAAAATTGAATTAGAATTTTTTTTTTAAACATTGATTCTTTTTCCCTTAAAATATTGACTCAGCTCGACCAACATAGGGTATTTTAATCAATTTCTATTTCAATTTTTTAAAACAGTTTTCAAAAACTTGTAATAGCGACTAAAATTCAGTTTCTAACATAACTACTTTTTTAAAATACAAAAATATGATGTCACATTATTTGAACGCCATTTGGAGTCATGGTGAGGTCAGAAGAGCCACCGTTGCTACAATGAGGGGCGGATTATTCTTGCCTCATAGTCACCTTTTGCAAGGATTTCAATATTAATTTGAGATTGCGAAATAAAATTTAATCAGAGGGAAACTATATTTTGACGGGTTAAAATACAGATAGATACATCCTAATATATAAAAGTCCAATGTGCGCACTTCTCTCTCTCTCTCTCTCTCTCTCTCTCTGTCTGTCCGCAAAATATTTTCGCCGGACATCACGTCAGAAACGGCAGCGATATATGGAGAACTTTATACGGACTTTTGTTGAAAATAAGATGTTAGATGTTTTAAATGTATAACCACAATTTTATTCGAAGAATAAAAAATAAAGGCGTATTCGAATGTAGAAAAACAATTTTATTTATGCAACCGGAAAAGCATTAATAGATGTGAAAAAGAACGCATAAAACTGTGACGTCACTATTGCTTATACATTAACTAATGACGTCATCTGCCGTGTTTAGAATAAAAAGAAATGAACTATTTCATTCAAATTTGTTTTAGATCTACGTACACTATGAAATGTATACAATACAATTTTTCCGGCCTAAACTCATAAAATTTATGTAGACCCTACCTAGATCTATAATCTATTCAAATAATACATTTCTATACTAAAGTATTTCAGGCCTTAATTACTTTATTGAAATCTTTGTTTATCTATGCAATTTGCTAATCTCTATAATATATAAAGCAAAGTTGTCGGGTGCCCGATAGGGCACTTCCCGGCGCCGCAGGCGCTTCAAATTTGGCAGGATCTTGCCTTGGGGCGACAGAACATGGGGGCCGGTTGGCCGAAAAGTCTACGATGATGGGGTCAAAACTGACCTCGACTGACCGGCGCCTTATATGAGCTATAAATCGAAAAAAAAAATGTCCACGGAGGAACCTCTTCATAACTCCTGAGGTCGTAGACCGACCCTCGGGCGAATTAATTAAGCATTCAAATTCTCAATGTTTTCGAAAGCCTAAGCGAAGCTGGGCAGCATGCCTAGTTAGACTATAATGATAGCTAGATTACCAGGTTTGTGAGATGTAAGTTTCATTTGAGGAATTGCATTATTTTAGATTACTTTATCCCGTGTTTTTTATAAATATTTAACTGAAAATATCAGCAGAAAATTTGAATTCTGAAAGATTTGAAAATCTGCTGAAATTCTGAATCTTGACCTACATTTAATCTTAATGTAGCACTGTCAGACCTAGCGCAATCCTCCAATTAAAAAGAAATGCGCATATTTGAGTGTCCGTTTTACCTAAGTACAGTAATTCTCTATTTAAATACGAATAGGCTATGTGGAATGCACATTCCGGCAGAGGTCATTTAAGTTTTTTCCAATTTTTTTAAACTTCGTAAAAATATCAGCAAAAATGGAAAATCAGCGGGGGAAAAATCTGTGAAAAATAAAATTTTAGAGGAGGAAAATTGCAGCTGAAATGGAAAAATCGGATTTCCGCTACAATTTAGAAAAGTCACATCCCTGAAGCTAGTTATTTCATGTGAAATTATTGTCAGGGTGATTTTTCAAATATGTAAAATGAGAATTTGATACTATTCCAAACATTAGTGGAATAGCCTAAACAAATGAAAGTGACCCTGAAAAATTCTCAAAGAAAAGACCGTTTTTAAAATTTGATAGTGATTTTTAAGAACTCCTTAATTATTGTGATATATTGTTGCTAGCAATATTTATGGTAACTAAACAAGCTTTGAATTTAATCCAAAACAATTATGTTTTATGGCTCGTGGACCCAGGTGGAAAAGAGATCTAAAGGAACACAATTAACTGGTTGTGTGGTTCAAGCAAAAGAATATATACAATCCACTAGAGTCTCAAGAAAGACATAAAAATGTTGGGTTAACATTTGCAAACGAAAATATAGCCTTAACAAAAAAGAAACAAATTTTCTAGTTCTAAGCATTTGCATACTTTGTAACATTGATTGCTAAAATATAAAATGTCATAATTTTTTAAAGCAAAAGTTTTAATTTTTATTTTCAGAGGATGAAATTTATTAAAAGGTGGGGTAGAGGTATGTTGGCTTAGCTGTAACTTTCGTACATCAAATATAACATTTTCATACTACTACTACCAAAAAAAAAAAAAATTTATATCTATATAAATATATATAATTCTCTTCTTGGAGACGATAGAAAACACCAAGCGCCTCCTAGCAGCCCCCTCTCTTCCTCTCTAGGCATATCACTACCACACCCACATGGTCTGGTGAGCTGCGGTTCACGCTTAATGTTTACAAGCGTAGAGCCGGGTTTAGTGACGGCTATTAGGGGCATATACTTTAGTTTGAAACCATTTTAAACCTAGGGGAGGTAACAAAGAGGAGGCTGCTTTCATGGGGGGGAGTGTAAGGGTAGGGGTCGGGGAAAAGGTGGGGGTATCGTCCTTAACTACCAACTGTTAGTGTTTTAAAGCAAATATTTTCAGTGCCAGCATTGGTACTGCCAAATTCACAAATTATTAATTACTGAAAAGCAGAAAATAAAACAACTAGATGGCAGCGAATGCTACGTCGCGGGTCAGCTCGTATTTATTAATCAACATAACACCTTAATGAACCTTATACATATTTTAACCTTGGACAAATATATAAACAAAAAACTTAAGATACAAACATACAGAATTTTAGTAGTATATAAAGACAGATAGGGTGTCAAGAGCAAAGGTGCCAAGTTAATATAATTTTTTAATGATTTTAGAATGACTGAAGTTTTTGAGTGAATCAATATTTAACATTTTACTTCAATAAAGAAGGAATATACTATTATTAAAATAACGAGAAAAATGGCCCGTTGAGGAAGGATACACCGGGCGCTAGGTTGATAGTGCGGTCTCTTTTCTCTAAACTAAAACCAACCCACCCCCCCCACACACACCACCCCCCACCCCCACCCCTCCCACCCCACCCCCCCACCCCCAAAAAAACATGTCTACCGTCCCATTCAACGAAATATAATTATATACTTTTTCCAGTGTCCGCCCCCTCCCCGAAAATTCTACCCCCGCCCCCGAAAATTTCAAGTACCCCCACCCCTCTCCGGGGAGGAAAAAGTCTGAAAGAATCACTGGTGTCGCGCTTAGCCACTACGCGAAGAATTGCATTAAAGAAATTGCGAGAAAACCACTTTTTAGATTAGACACATTAATTAGGCGGTAATTTTATTATAGAGTATCGATGAGGAAACCACCCCACCCCCCCCCCCCACACACCACCCCACCCACCCCCTACCCCCCACTCCCAAAAACATCATGTCTACCGTCCCATTCAACGAAATATAATTATATACTTTTTCCAGTGTCCGCCCCCCTTCCCGAAAACTCTACCCCCGCCCCCGAAAATTTCAATTACCCCCACCCCTCTCCGGGGAGGAAAACGTCTGAAAGAAACACTGGTGTCGCGCTTAGCCACTACCCGAAGAATTGCATTAAAGAAATTGCGAGAAAACCACTTTTTAGATTAGACACATTAATTAGGCGATAATTTTATTATAGAGTATCGATGAAGAAATTTCTTTTGAGTTGGGGAGGGGGGGGGGGGCTTCGCCCCTACCCGAAGAATTGTATGCAAGAAACTCTTCACGCAAACCATTTAGATTAGACAACATTTCCTTTTTATTCAATGTTTACGCGATAATCAATGACGTCATTATATTACTGTGTGCACTTTCCGCCTTGAGATTATTTTCAACTCTATGCTAAATGTGTCGACGTCATACTTCGTTTTTCGAATTACTATGCAGGTTTTTAAATTGCTTGTGTTTTCTCTAGACAGACAGATAGATAGATAGATAGATAGATAGATAGATAGATAGATAGATAGATAGATAGATAGACAGACAGCGAAACTATTATTATAGATGTAACAATTGATTGCATAGAGATTTTCTAAACAAACATTTTTGGAGAACATAAATTACCTGGACTTAATATATATCTCTTCATCCTCAATACTGGTAATGTCCTTTTTGTCATTCTTTGCTCTTTTTGATACACCAGGATTCTGAGTACTCCACAGACTGTGCTTGGAAAGCTTAGTAAATATATAAATTTATACATATATATATCTATAATATAAGCGGGCTGTGCTTGTCCTTCCTTCCTTCCGTCCGTCCGTCCGTCATCGCTATAGATTTTGGGACTATAAAAGTAAACTACGCACCATGCTGTGCTTTTCAGTGCACCGCAGTGTCTTATTATAAGTGTTAGAGTAGGGTTTGTTTATATAGCGGCATAGAGCTATTTTATAAATGACACTGTGTTTACTTTTTTGCATAACGTTATGAAAATATTAAATATTCGCACATTGCTAAAACATATTAAAAAGATCAATGTCAAATATCATTTTAGTTTATATTCCTAGAAAAAATGGATACATTTCCATAAAAGTAGGTCGAAAAAACTAATTAATTCAACTTTTTTTTTGTGGTAATTTTTTTCAAGGGAGGTAATTTGAAAATATATTTATCTCAACAATAATTTAAGTTAATCTTTTTTGTATTACTACCGCATTGATTAGTATATGTTAATGTTCATAATTAAAAGAGAAAAATGTTAAGATTATTTATATTATTTTTTTTTTCTAATTAGTCTATGATTTCTCTAAAATCACTATCTTTTTGCTTTTGTTTTTCGGTGTTATGAAAACAGATGGTGAAATTAGACTTTTTGAGAATAATGGAAAGACTCTCTCTGAGCGCGGACGTATGGGAAAATGTTTTTTTTTAAATATTCAACTCACTCTCAATAAATTAAGTTAATTTTTTTTATTACTTCCACATTGATTATTATATGTTAAGTAAAATAGAAAAAATGTTAAGATTATTTACATTATTTTCTAATTAGACTATGATCTCTCAAAATCACTATTTTTTTGTTTTTGTTTTTCGGTGTTAACAGATGGTGAAAATTTAGAATTATAGTATAGAGAATGCTGGAAAGGCTCTCTCTGGGCGCGGATGCCTAAGAAAAGCGTGTTGTTCGTTGGTGATTCTATTGTTGTGGTTGTGTTGTGGTTGTGTTGTGGTTGTGGTTGTGTTGTGGTTGTGTTGTGGTTGTGTTGTGTTGTGGTTGTATTGTGGTTGTGTTGTGGTTGTGTTGTGTTGTGGTTGTGTTGTGGTTGTGTTGTGTTGTGGTTATGTTGTGGTTGTGTTGTGTTGTGGTTATGTTGTGGTTGTGTTGTCGTTGTGGTTGTGTTGTGGTTGTGTTGTGATTGTGTTTTGTTTGTGTTTGTGTTATTTTTTTGTTTGTTTTGTTGTGTTGTGGTTGTGTTGTGTTGTGGTTGTGTTTTGTTTGTGTTTGTGTTATGTTTTTGTTTGTTTTGTTCTGTTCCAAAGTTGGTACATTTAAAAAAGATTTACCGTGGCGGAGCACGGGATGCAGCTAGTATACATATATATATATATACACATATACATATATATATATACAAATTCATACATATATATACAATTATATATACACATATATATACAATTATATATACATATACAAATATATATATGTGTGTATATATATATATATAGGCCAAAATGTATATGTATCAATAATAACTAAATAAGAGAATGAGTGTCACAATCATCAATTACCAAGCCAACTACTAACTTACTAAGTAAATTGTTAAACATTATAGTTATCTAGTTTTTAATTAATCTTATATATTACCGAATCTTTTTTGCTCCTGCGTATAAAATCTTTATTGGTTGCTTTTTGTAGTCTAAATTCTTCTTGCTTATGAAACAGCTCAGCTTTCAACTCCACCAACTGTTCAGAATTTTTAAAAAGTTACTTACAGGTAAATTGTTCTTGACAAAGTTTACTATTCACTTTCATTTTATTGAGAAAATAGTGTCAACTAAATAACCGAGTTTAAATTGACCATGACTGACAGTGGTCTCATATAAACTAAACATTTTTTAAAGTGCTTGCATTAGATCGACCACTTGCAGATGCGACGGAAATTACTCAAAATTTGATTGAAGCCAGAAAGGTAGATCATTTATTTATATGTCAAATTTTGTTCATCTATCTGAAACAGTACTCAAGTTAAAGGCTTTTGAAAAATTGAAAGAAGAATAAGTTCCACTTCCGGTTATCGGAATTCGCCGAAGAGTTGATACAAAACTACAAACTACTACTTAAGGAGATGTTAAATGTCAAAATTTGCAAAAATCTCATTTTATTTTGGCACGATTACAATATTTTCTTTATACTTCGTATACAGAAAGTAATAATTGAAGATAACATTCAGATTTTAAAAATGTCTTTAAAATAATCCATTTTCAAATAGGTGTTTTTCTACTTAAAAATGTACTTTGCCTGGCTTTTTATCTTTTGTTTTTATGTTCATGAATTATTCAAAATGGAGTTTTTCATTGAAAATAAGGTAAGTTTGATTTATTCTTTAAAATTAACTATTAGACTGATATCTTTTTTATTGATTGCTAAAGTCCCTACACCATTTTCCTTTATCATATTGAAATGTGTAAGAGTTTGGATGCAGCCCAAAGAAGTTATATGATACCCAGTGGGGGTGTATCATTTAGCGCTGTCTTGTGCCTACTTAGAAAGCGAAAGTAAAAAACGGAAGTAGTCGGGTCTCTTTACTTCTTAAAACTTTGCGCTTACACGAGAGGGGTATTATTTTGTGATGTGTAGGGTCTACTGTATTGTGGATGGGGAGAGAGAGTGGAGGAGGGGGGAAGGCTTGACTATAATTGCATCATGTCACATAGTGTTAAGGGGTAATCATGTGTAAAGACGGCCATTAACTAGGAAATTATTTACTTGCTTGTGGGTTTAGATAGGCCTAACAACTTGGACTGTTCTAGTTTTTTTAACTTTATATTTGAAACATCATAATTTTTAAACTTATTATTGTACGTTGTTTTTTTTTTTTTGGTGTTGTTTTTATATATAAATCTTATAGGCCCTAGCATGTTTTATTTTTTGTGTTCACCAGGAAACAGTCAATGACCGTATTTGACATCACAGAAGTATGGGTGAAAGTGAGGTCAAGTTTTGGCTTTTTCTGATGTGCTATGTGCGTTGAGTTTTAAGAAATGTAACTTAGTAAACATCGATGGGTGATACAACTTGGTGAGCTTTATATTTAAAATATTTAAAATTTAAACTGTGGTAGTATGAAAGCACTGCGTGTTCAAAAATAAGGGTGTCCCATGTTCTACTTTTGTTTTTCAAAAATTCTACTCATAAATTTCTTGGTGACCTGTCAAAAGAGCGGCAACATAAGAGCGCAGTAATTTGCCGACAAAAGAGTGCCGACATAAGAGCGCAAACTAATGATTGAAAAATAATATTTAATAAATAGGAACAAGAAAATTAACTCAGATCATAAGGCATGGTTTGATGTTAACTCTTTATTGTTTCATTAAAACACTAATTGTTCAGTTTCTTTAACTAAAAAACTGATATAATCAACGTGAAGTCCTATTATTCAAAATGCAATCTAAAAAGACATACAAAGATTTTAAATGTTAGGCATAAAGTGAGAATATAAACTGAAATGAAATGTAACAAAAGGAAAATAAGTTCAAATTAATAAAATGTTTCTTTACAGTTGCATTTATATTGCTAAATTGTGGGTAGTCCATCATTGAATCATTAGCATAGGTTGAAGCAATCGCCGGCAATCTTCGGTTGAGCTGAACATTTTGTTCTTTGGAGCTTCTGGTTGATTAACTCCAGCTAGATGGCATTCCAGTTCCAGCAGCTTCTTGCGTTTACTCTGTCTTTCTATTGCACGTTGTGAAGCGACATATGCCGGCAAATGAGGGGCTACTTCCATCGAAATTCCTGCTCTGGCTTGATGTATAATCTGCCTTGGTTTTTCCACCCCTTCCACTGCCGGTTTTCTTATAGCCGAAACAATTTTCGCTGCTTCGTTTTTAGCCGGATCTGGAGCGTGATTGTGTTCCGATGATGACAGAATAACATCGCTCAGCAACTGGATCCGTCCTCTGCAGCCATCTTTCTTGCAGCATCTCCCTGTCGTTCTTCCATCAACATTTGCTCTGTACTTTCGATATCTGTAGCTTTCGACCAATATAACAGCCTTCCCTTTCTTAGATTCGATTTTCTCCATGTTACTTGGGTTAGAAATATTTTCAAACTGCATTCATAACATATTAAAAATAATATATAAATAAACACGTCGTTTATTGTACCGCCGATTGTTTAATTAAAACTAGTGTTAACCATATAATATTCGTTCAGCGTACATGTTTTTTTAGTTGACTACGCTCTTATGTCAGCGCTCTTTTGTCTGCACTCTCTTGTCATGTGCTTATCTATTACCCATAAATATCTTATTTTATGGTTTATTATGCTTCCATATATGATAAAAAAGAAAGTTTAAACAAATTCTACAATGTAGTTTACAGGCTATGAACATTGTAGTGCACACTAAAAAAAACTTTATCATAGAAATATAAAAAATCCTGCGTTAAAAAGCACCTTTTTTTATTAGGAAAAAAAATCATGACTTTTTAACCATTTGAGCTAAACCAAAAAGGGAAACTGTTCTGTGATTCTAATTTTCTGTGATTCTAGATTTATTTCTTGATCTATATAGAAATATAGAATTACAGGCTTTCCCAGGAGTATAAATGTACTATCATAGCTATGTAGGAGGTCAGCACGAGTTCATGGGGGAGGGAAATCAGATCTGCCATACAGGGGTGGGTTTAATGCACCAATAGCCAAAAGGTACAGAAATTCTAAAGATACATTTTTAAAGATAAATGGATGGCTGAATTGCAGTTATCAAATTATCTGTGAAGTTTAAGTATAAATATTGATATTTAACACGAATATAGCACTGTCTTTCAAAATCTAGCTCAGCTTTCAAGTAAATCGCATCCGATCGCAATAATTTTTATATCAGCTTGTCGGCCATTCAACAATCTATCACATGAAGCAGACGCCAAACAGTTACCCGCTGTATGTAATTGCGCGAATGCTATTTTTAGCAACACTTCAACAGTGCCGAGACACCGTTGAAAAAAACTAACTTAAAAGTGAAAAGTGGTCATAAAAAAGCAGGTCAGGGGAAGTAATTCAACTCGCGTTATGAGACTAGCTAAATTTAGTATTTAGGCTTGGCCCACTGGGTAAAACCTTAGTTTAGCGCGGGGGAGAGTGAATTGATAAATGTCTTTAAATATGAGTATATTTTTTTATATTTTAATAAAATATTATATATAATTGAATAATAGAATCAATTTAAATATCCTGAAATTGAATCCATCGAAGTATCGTATTTTCTTTTATTCCTTTGTAATCCACGACAAACATAATTACATACATACAGAATTTTCAACTTTATATATTAGATTGTCAAATATATGTGTCAAATATTATAGATAACTGAATAATAAACCAAAATCAATGGCTAAATATATCAATATATGCCAGAAATTAACTTTAAACAGCAGTGTTTGAGAGCAAGATTTGCTATATAAAAAGCAGCCATTTGTAAAATAGAGTGGCTTCCCCTGAATCTTCTGCTATAAGTTTAACAAAATGAAACTTAAACAAGATGGCTGCTATAGTAAATGAGCATGGTTGCATCTGATGAAAACATCGCTAGTCTTCATTTATTACTGAAAAGTTTTATTTCAATTGTTTAAAAGCAGGTACATAAATGAAACAAGGAAACATTTTTGTATTTTTCAAAACATAAATCCTCCTCAAAATGTGAAATAATTATTAAAATTTAAGGATTCACCTGCTTTTCACATTATTAATCGCGGGCGTTTTTACGTACCTAAAACGATAGATTACCAGGCGGTAAAACCTTGTAGGCCGCCAGCTCGTTGCTTAGATGGTAGGATTGACCTCTGACCCTGAAACGTCACACGTTGTTTTCTGACGGTTTTTACGTTTATTTTAGGGGTCCCATCCATGACAAATTAAAAAACTGTTTATATCGCAAGTTCTCTTCATTATTTTAATGCAAAATGCTAATAAAATGGATAATATGCCTTAGAATGCCAGAAAAAATCGCAAGATTCGTGGTTGTAAATAATGAGAGGATTTCTAGTGGAGCACTCTCCGTAAAAACTGAACCGCCACCAAAAACGACAGACTAACGGGGAAAACGGCTCGACTAACTGTAAATTAATATATAATTGATATATTTATCATGTATATTTACAGTATTTTTGATTACTTTTTCCAAAATCTTACTCGAAGATGAGGTACATTTCTATCCGCTATTTTTAGTATCATGACGTCATTGTTACGCTAGTTACCTCACAGAAACAACTAGTTTTTGTTTTTTTGCGGAATGAACTGTTAAATCTAGTATTTTAATTATAATTCAATTGTTGCATGTGTGGAAAAAGTAAACTTATGAACATTATTATTGTATTAGCAATTTTATTAGTATATTGATTATTTTTCTTCACTGTGGGCTGACAGTTGCTGCATTCGTGACCGGTGATTAACGTCATCAAATCAACGTTTATTTTAATTATAAATTGTATCAAATGTTGTATAGTATTTCTAACGATGCTGGTTCAGTGGCAACTCTTAGACTTTATTGATCGGCCGTTAGCCTGCGTATTTTAAACAATGCTCATTCAAGGGCCTATTTTTTTGGCGCTATAATGTTTACGGGCATTTTTGGTGTAATTATCATTTATTTATTTATTAGCTAGGCCTAGATTCAGTTAAAAAATTTTTTTACATGAGCTCGTTTTCGTTTGTTAAAATTACAATTTGTGTAAGTACAGGGTCTT